TTTTCCTTCTTGAATTTAATATATTTCTTAACAATATCAAGAAACAATCATGCTAAGCAGAAAACAAGCTATTATATGAAGATAATCTAATTATTTAACTAGAGGCTCCAAGGAGCCTGTGTCGTTCACCTGAATTTTTTGTTACAATTGATGCATAAAATAATGCAACCATTATACTTTTGCTTAAGTTTCAGAGCTATAAGCCAAGAACTCATTTTACCATTACATGTATGTTCTGTTTTTAACCATGTCAGGCATGTTGGTGAGCAGGCAGGATCATCAGACACAATTTTAAACTAGATACCCTCTTCATGATTGTGGCCAAGGTTGATTAAATTTGTCTTAGAAGTTTCAGAGTTATAAGCCAAAAACTGCATTTTACCTATATGTTCTATTTTCAGGAAAAAGATTTTTGTAAAATATGACAAAAATTTACAAATAATTGGTAAAAATTGACTATTTAGGGCAATAACTCCTTAAGGAGTCAATTGATAATTTTGGTAAGTTGACTTATTTGTAGATCTTACTCTGCTGAATATTATTGGGTTTTACAGTTTATTTCTATATATAAAAATATTCAAGATAACTAAAACCTCCAAAATTTTCTTAAAATTAATATTTCAAGTGCAGTGTTACCCAACTACTGGTTGACTGATTTTAAACCTGATGAACATTTGTACCCATGTCAAATTTACTCTAAATGCTTTAGTTTGAGAGATATAAGCAAAAAACAGGTTTTTACGTTCTATTTTTAGTCATGGCAGCCATGTTGGTTGGCAGGCAGGGTCGTCGAACAAATTTTAAACTAGACACCCTTACATTTTGTATAATGATTGTGGTCAAATTTGGTTAAATTGGCCCAGTAGTTTCAGAGGAGAAAATTTTTGTAAAAGTTAACAACAACAGACTAGTGGATATATAATAGTCTTAATTGCATTCATATTACATCTCTTATTTTTATACAAATATAAAACATGATGTGTAGTCTATGTTAAATTCTTAAAACACATTCACATACAAAGGGTGAAACACAATAAAAGGGACATTTACAATATGTCTTCATTATGTTAGCTATACAGCTAAACTACTTAATACAATAAATACAGTTCTCTTTATCATGTTTATCAATATAAGCCATTGGATCCTTTAGCTTAATTCAAAATTTGAAAATTCTGACTAAAATAATATTTAAATTCAGGTGAGATAAGGGATCCAAAAATTGTCCTTTTCAGAAATTTTGAAATTGCCCTTCAAAAATGACCATATTTTTTCCATTAAATTTATTCAAATTGTAAATGTATTCATTTTCAGATTATCTTAATGCCCATAAAAAATTGAAATAAACTTAATTTTCTTATCTATACATTTTTAAATCTATTAAGTGTTGATCATTTATAGCCTGGAAAATATTTTCAGTCCACTACAACAATAAATATTTTTTGTGTAACTACTATGGCTGAATGTATAGATTCTTTGAAGTCTGCCTTAATGTAGCATCATTTATTGCTTGATACAAAATTTAAAAAAATAGAATAAGAGTGTGTCTTAGAATATGAAGGTATCCACCCAAACTTTCCAATTTTCAAAGTTAAAAAGGGGCATAACTCAAGAATGGTAAATGACTCACAACCTATATTTGAATTTTGTCTACCTGTCGTGGTTCTTAGCATTTTGTTTGAGTTTCATAAAACTTGGATCAGGAAAACTTTAGATTGCAAGAAAAAAATATTGCAATTTTCCATGTTATAAAGGGGCATAATTCTAGAAAGGTTATTGACGTACTGCTCAATTAGATCTTGTCTGCGAGTGAGTTTTTATTTAGAGTTGTGTAGGAGTTTAATTAAATTTCTATAAGTCATACTTAATTTAAAGTGCAGAGACGAAAATGGGATGGTCAGACAGTAAAGGGTAACTCTTAATGCCCCTATTGCCTATGTCTACAGGAAAAGGGGGGAAGGGCATAAAAATGATGAAAACAATAATTTGCTTAAAATTCTTGATGTACTAATTTAAAACCAGAAAATATTATTAAAAAACAATTTTGTAACAGTTGGTTATAAACTGAAAAGATGAGTTTTTTTGGTATTATTTCAAATTCATATTATGAACACAATCATGTAGAATTGTTATAGATCTGTATTTGACATTAGAGTTTTTTGTTTGTTTGAAGAATGCATTTAAAAGTTATTTTGATGACCACAAGTATATTCTATGGTAAATTTTCCTTTATTTTTGACTTATTTACAATTCCAGTAGTATGACTGACGGAAAAATATATTTGACTAAATTTTATTCACCTAAAGTATTGATGTTTTCAGAAAATTTATGGAAAAAGGTAGCCAATAATCCGGTTTTTCATTTATTAAGAATGGTGGTATTATTTTTTTCTGAATATAAAAGATATAACATTTTTCCTATAATTTCTTTGTTTGGTATAATGATTAGTTGATTTTGGAATTATAATAGTGCTTTAAAGACTTGTTATATTTTATTAAAGACATATATTTCCAGAGGTGACTATTACCAGTAGTGTCTGTGACCTGAGCACTTGCCTAACCAAATACAAATTAGAATGTAAAATTAAAATGTAAAACATTTCCAGTAGTTTTTTCACTTACCAAATAAGTTTTATAAAAATCGAATATTATTAATTGAGGATAACAATTCTTTTTCAATTGTGCTGATCTCTATTTCTTACCCCAGGTGCAAACTTGGACTGTTCCCTTTATTGTGTTTAACCTGAACATATAGCTTAACTATATAGTATGCCCTTAAATCAGGAATTAAATTGTTTATAATTAAAATGAATTTTAAATCTGTTAATAAGATAGACACCATGTTTATAATTATGACGAAATTGTCTAATAGATTGGTTTGTAACCATGGAACAGCATCCACCATTTCTACAATCATGAGATACAAACAAAGAGCCCTCAATGATATTGTAAGGCAAACTTTTTCTTCTTGTGGTGAGTGTAAGGCTCTTGCAATGGAATAAGGGATCTTCCTGGTGAGGTATCATCAACAAAACAGTAACATCTGAACTGGTTTTGCAGTCAATTTTACCATAATTAATCTGAAAAAGAACATTTTAAAGATACTTTATCTTTCAAAAAAATAACAACTTTAAATTTGAATTGTTTGCATAATTTATGATATTTTGCATCTTTTACAACAATTGATTAAGGTAGGTGTAAAAACTTTTAGATTCCAACCAATAAAAATCCATAAAAAAAAATCGTTTATAAGCATTTATTAATGTATCTCTACCCCTTGGTATCAGTTTATTGTTTAAATTCTAAAAATGAACAATGAACTTATCAAAAGGAAAAATTTTCATTATTGAGTGATTTATCTGGGGAAATACATTATAGGTGTGTAACATCTGATTTTTGTTTTTGTTTTAAATCACCCGGTGATACACAGATTAGTTGTTAAACATACATGTTTATGTAATAATTTTTGATATTAACTTAGTGTTTTCATCTTAAATTGAACATGTTCATATCTCTAATATGGCAATCATTAGCTTGGAACTATTGGACAATGAACAAGCTCCAGGGTTTAATGGTATTCATCCTCATATTGTATTATTTCATACTGCACTCATTCTATTTGAGCAGTCAAAATGCGTTGACTGTATATTTCTTTGTCACATACCGTCACTGACCTGATATCACTTTTCCTCATAAATATTTACCTCTTCAACCTGTTCTTGTTTCCAATGTAACAATGATGAGTGGAACGACTCAAACTTAATTATTTCTTTTACATATTTTGGAAAAACATATTTCATTTGTTAATAATATTTGTTTGAAATCTATAAATGATTTATGTATAGTTGATAATTTAGTCCATACTCAAACAAATTTGTCCACCATCGATTGAGGGTTTCAACAGGTAATGTACAGTTCACTGTGTTGTATATTTCTCCGCCTGATATGAGGCCTTTTAAAGGGCGATTTTTCACAATATTTGAATCAAATAAATAATATTAACACATTAAACAACAATTGAAAATGTTTTTTTCTAGATTGCAGAGCCTCGCATTTACCTGTTTCTAAGCCTCATCCTTATATCGTTGAAATGTCAAGTCAATGCACTATTATTGTCTATCTATCATGATAAAAGCATGTGAGAAAATCACAGTGAACAAACTTGTCTGGAATAAAAAAAATGGCATACTTACATGGTCATCTAATTTAAAATAAACAGTTTCTCCAATGTTTAATTTACTTCCATCCTTCCTTTTCATGTTTCTGATTTCGTCTCCTACATTTCTTTTCACTTCTATAATTTGTTCTAATAAAAATTGTAAAATGTCAATTTATTTAAGAAGACTATAATACATTTAAGTGATATCTGCTAAATTATTTAAGAATTCAGTTTTATTGTATAGAAAATGGTGTTAAGTGTTTCAAGAACAGCTGAACATATATTTCCTTACATTCTTCCTTTTTAACTTATTTATTGACTCATTAAAATACTAGACTTTGACTTCTAATGATTTGACTTTTAATTGTTTAACATTACAGGTGCCATTAGTTAAGGAGAATAGGCTTACAATTCTATAGCATCTGATTTCAACTCCCAGTTTCTTGTGGGAAGTCATAATGCCTAAAACTTTAGCTTTCAGTGTTTTGGTTTATAAATTTATCCTGCAATTAGGTGTCTTATCATACATTAACAGCCCAACAGATATCAACAGGGTGTTCTGTTGTGCAGTTTCAGAGGAGCTGCGATGACAAACTGTTGCAGAAGTATATTGAGGCAAATAAGTTCAAAGGGGCATTACTCCTAGAAAAAAAAATTGAATCAATTTCTTGTCAATATGCACACCTTCAAAGTATGTCTTTATTATCTACCAGTTTCATGAAATTCTGGTGTGTGGTTTAGAGGAGTTGCGATGACAAGAACAGGACTGATAGACTGACAGAAGGACAGACAACGGGTCAAAAACATGATACCCTCTGCAACTTCATTCAAAGCTTGTAGCAACTTTAAAAAAAAATTATTGTATCCAAAACTAAAATCCTACCATCTTCTTTCTGTGTCCTATTTCCCATTACAAAAGTTTGAATCCGTGGATGATTTATCTCTTCAATTGTCTGTTGTGCAGGTTGAACTCTGTAAAAAAATATATTACTTTTAGTTCCCCTGTATAAACTCGATCAATTCACTCACAAACAAATAAAAGTCCGAAGTTTGTGAGTGACTTGGTCCAGTTTCTACACCAATAAATTCCTTTAAAAGGTGTTTACTCCTTATTATAAGTTATATGGTTTGCTACTGACCCCTACCGATCCATAGAGGGTTAGTAAAATCCAATCAAAACGTGATAATTTACCCGCCGTGCGATAAAATTCTTTAGAATTGGAGATAAGGAATACATTTAACCATACTCATAACCCATATCACACGTAAATTGTATTTTTGTGAAATTGAATAAGCCTAGCGCAAGAATATATATGATGGTAAACTAAAATATATGTACTTCGTGAATTTGCTATCTGATAAAGAATAAACTACAAAAACTCTTATTACCATTCAAAAAAATGTTTTGTGTTTATTTTTTGATTTAACGATTAATGCTAAGTGAAAATAGATTTTGTTAACCTCGTTCCAGATTGTGTTATCATTGCCACCATCTTGTTTACATTGGTTATGAAAAGAAGTTAGGTCAATGTCGTCTATCGGAAAAAAAACAACATTAAGAACAACTTCTCGAAGTTTTCTCGACTAATCATATCAATGTATTCCCAAATATGCAAATCATATAAGAATTATCACATGATAAATGCTGTCCTATACCTTTTCCCATTTGAAAACCATGTCCCACTGTCAATGATATGGCAAACTTCCTCAACATGAGCTAACTTCAAAGCTGTGTCTTTGTTGGCATTGTGGTGGTTTGTAATGCTCTGAAAATGTTTGACTATACCACACCAGCTTTCCCCTGTCTCTAAAATAAAAAAAAATAATTATACAATTGTAGGTAAATTGAAAAATATGTCAAATTAATAAGTTGCATTATATAACATTCAGTTCTTAATTTTTACAATTCTGTGTGGTCTGAGTTGTCTTTTTGTCTCTTCATCTTGAACATGTCTTTCAACAATTCCGGATATTTTTTTTTTACTTTTCTCAATTTTGAATTTTTTCAATTTGAAAATCGTTTTAACAATTACTTGACTACATGCTTTTATATGCTGGAATATCAATCCTGTTAAAATTCAACCAAATTGTAGTTTGTTTTAAAAAAAAAATCAACTGATAAATTAGTACTAAAAAATCCAAACATCTTGAATAGCAAATTAACAAATAATCAACAGCTAGGTGTATAAAAATAACATTTATTAACTTTTACCAGTAGTATAACCTATAGGGACCCCATGAAGTCTGATTTGTTGCTCAGTATGAAGATTATGGTGTATTTTCTGTTTTTTCAATGTTTCTGGAAACTGCTTGTAAATGTTTTCATTAAATTGGTACTGCAGATCACCCAGCCTAGTGAGTTCCGATTCCAGCAATTTCATTTTGTTACTCAACTGAACAATCTGAAAATATAAATATAATAATAATTACTAATGAACCACAAACCCAGTGCTGACATGAATATTAATTATATGGTCATATGTTTAAATTAATTGTATGAAAAAGTATGAATTATTTGAAATACGAAGTATTTTCTTATCCCAGGCATAGATTACCTTAGCCGTATTTGCCACAACTTTTTAGAATTTTGGGTCCTCAATGCTCTTCAGCTTTGTACTTGTTTTGCTTTTTACTTATTTTGGTCTGAGCATTACTGATGAGTCTAATTTGCTCTAAATGCTTTGGTTTCAGAGATATAAGCCAAAATCTACATTTTACCCCTATGTTCTATTTTTAGCCATGGCGACCATCTCGGTTGGTTGGCCGGGTCATCGGACACATTTTTTAAAATAAGTTACCCCAAGGATGATTGTGGACAAGTTTGGTTCAATTTGGCCCAATAGTTTCCGAGGAAAAGATTTTTGTAAAAGTTAAGACAACGGACGACAGATGCCAAGTGATGAGAAGAAAGGTCACTTGGCCCATTGAGCCAGGTGAGATTAAAACACATTACTATAACACCAGAGACCATAATTCTGTAACTTTTAGAACCAGAACTAAATGCAAAACTTTAAATCAAATATAAAATCAGTATCTTTAAGCACGAAAAAAAAAGTATGGAAAGCTCATACATAGGTTATTTAAATAATAATTTGTGTCACAGTAAGTACTCATTGAAATAGTAAATTATGTGTTAAGCAAACATCAAACTTTACTGTATACTGCATAACTAAACTATTGTTTAGCAACAAACACCAAGAGATGATATGCTAGTTTTCATATGTAATGTATACCTATAAGGGTTTACTTTTATAAATTATTACTTGGATAGAGAGTTAAATTATTGTCTCATTGGCACTCATACCACATCTTCCTATATCTATCTACAAAGAAAACTAGGCCAATAAGTGCCTAATTTTCTGGCAAGAAGTAAATAAACAATATAAGGTCAATGTCAGAAAAATATAAACTTTTTTGTATGAGGCTGAGAAACTGGGGAAGGGTGCAATTTAAACTAATACAATGATAGCTTTTCAAATTGTAACACAAATGTCCAACTTATTTTCATCTCTTAATGAACCACTGATTGTGGAGAAAGTGTTCCATGATGAAATTGACATTGCACAAACTATAGCTGTGTTGCTTTATTGCAACTAGTTGCAGTATAAATGAGAATATTTTCCTAAGAATGCTTCCTTTTGCTTATGTAATATAAAACAATTTATAAATAGTTATGATACTTGTAAGATAGTTAAACCTTTTAGTTTTACCTACCTCAGACAATAGACACCAAAGTTTTACTATTTCTTTACTAAATCCTGCGTGATGAACTGTAAAGGGTGCAAGTTGTACCTAGATTTAGAAATAAAAATGCTCTATATTAAATATACATTTATGCAGTATTTTTATTATTTCAAACAGATACTGCATATGGTAACACTATTTTACTTGTTGATCAATTAGTTAAAATAGTTACAGATTACAATATGTCTATATAGTTTTAATCATAGGATTAAAAACAAGAGATATTTATAGATTATCGTTGATCATCTCAAGAGATTGATTTTCTTGCTTCAGCTGGACGGGGAAAGTAAGATAAGCAATTGAGTTGAGATGACCAATGATAATCTCTTTATCGCTATTTAGCCTATGAAGATGTTGTTAATTTCCTGGACAACAGCACATGTTCCCTTAATTTCTAGCCATAATTTTCATCACTCAACTCTATTTTCATATCACTGACGACTCCACTGAGAAAGGAAATTATCAGTCAACAAGATCAAAGGAAAATTCTTAAAATAGCAATAACAGTATATATTCTGGAAAACTGGAAAAAAGCAAGGGTATATCAGATGGTTTTTTTAACCCTAATTGGAACCTCAACGTACATTAATTGTTACTATGATACAGTTCCAAATGTGTAAGATGTTATTTGCCATAGGTTTCATGGATAGATGCAAAGTGATGATTATGACAGTCACAATATTTTACATGGTCTGTTTCTGGATTCAACTGCAATTTCCCATGCATTGCTAAGTAATAAGTAACACTCAATTGAAATCACCAATCCACAACTGATTCCAGATTTCTATATAAAACATATAATTCTTGGATTCAGCAATTTAATGAGTTGGCACTTACAAATGACCTGAAGTCTTTCCCTTGGCTTGATTTGTGATATTTCACAAAGTTTTCTCCACATTTGTGATGAAAGCCCTTCCAGTCAGCTGCATTTAACGTTAGCTGTAAATTTTCCTGTAAGAAAGAACCAGAATTATCTTCAACTATCCTTAGCCAGCAACAAAACGGTTTTGATTATGTAATCTTTACCAAAAATGTTTTATCAAAGATTGATCTTAAAGTGTGCTGTGTTACAAAACACTTCATAAATTTAAATACAATGTATAAACATTTCATAAAGATAAACTGGCTTTTTATCAGCTGGAATTCACAACTGTATTCTACAATTTTCCAATAATAGAGACAATTACTCAGGATCCATTAAAAGTAAAGGGAATACATATTGTAAATTCGCCTTTTCAGAATCTAGAGGACTATGGGTAATCTCATTGTTCGTACACCAAAATGAAAATAAATTTACGTCATTGGTTGCATTTCTATTGTTTATCACGTTTTAAACCAATCACAACGTTTTGGTGTACGCTATTGTAAATATTACCCTGAATGCATTACGGTATTGAACTTATTCTAACATTTGCATAGCTCAGTCCAAAAGTCTCAATGGTTAAGTTCAAATATGTATTTCATATTTCATAATTTGTTTCTTTAATGGACAATAGTATATGTCAATTTGATTTCAATGTATGTTCAGTAAATAATAATTAATAAATATAAAAAAGAAGATGTGGTATGATTGCCAATGAGACAACTCTACGCAAGAGACCAAATGACACAAAAATAAACAACTATAGGTCACTGTACGGCCTTCAACAATGAGTAAAGCCTATATATACACATTAACTTATGATCAATAATCATTAAAATTGAGTTAATTTTTACATTTATAATTTATAACTTGCTTTCATAAATGTAAGTTGCAGATGTGTCAGTATGATAACATGTTTTCCATATGAAAGAATTTAACAACATTATGTGCCATTATGTGTTTGACCCAATAGAAATAATAAACATTTGATGCTTCAAAAAATTGTGGTTATAATGCACCAATAGATACCATAGCTTGGTGTTGAGATTAGGATTAAGAATTTGAATCACACTAATTAATTTTACTTAGAACATAGACCTGTGAAAAAAAAATTATATTGTAGGCATCCAAAAGAAATAAATCAGACTATTACATAAATAAATTTTATAGTATTTAAAAGAATGATTAGCATTAAAACAAAAGATATCAAGTCACAATTACCTTCTGCTGGTCAGTACAGTTGCCTAGCATACATTTTAATAGGATTGCAACTTCTCCTAAGTATATGCAATGAAGCATATCTGGAGGAATGTCCCTGAAATTATAATTAAAAAGAAAACAATAATTAAACAGTGCAGCTGGTTGTTTAGCTTTAGTAAAACTGTGGATTTCTTGATATCATATGTGATACCAATTGTAAGAATATTTTTATTGCAGTTTTATTATAAATTATTGATTAAATCAATAATGAATCTTGATTTAGGTGTAACAAATTTACAGAATACAAATATATATGGTTCTTAAATTAACTACCCTGCACCTGTACCTTATGATTTATTGTTAACATTACCGTAATCCACAACTTCTGTCTCAGAAAGTTAGACATAGGGATAGTGATCCAGCGGCGGCGATGCCAACTAACTTTTTAAAAGCTTTATGATCTAAGAAGTTGGAAGACATGCATGTTTCATACTTTGTTTATGCCTCATGTTCATAAGCTTTTGCCTGTCATACGTCCATTGTCCTTAACCTCACTTTCATGGTTCAGTGATTATTTGAAAAAAAAAGTTCAGATTTTTTGTAATGTAAACAATTGGCAGAGCTCAGCATTCTCAACATTCCTGTGTATGTGTGGGCATCACAATATATATGAAGTGTGCATGTCCAAAGCTAAGTTTCAATTTTCAGTGCATGTAATTGTTTTTGCTTCTTGTATATATAACTATAAAATGATTATATAATATTGTAATTCTAATAATGCTTTCACACCATATATAATAATATATAATAAAGTCATGCATACCTGTGTGGATCCCAATGAGCAGCTTTGTTCATTTCTTCAGCCAATATTTTCTTTTTTATCCCAGTCATTGTTGATGTTTCTGTACTATTTTCAATCTCTTTTAGAATTTCCTCAGTTTTATTTTTTGTTCTTAATTCTCCAATAAGTAAGTGGTTATTTCGATACTGACAAAAAAAGGAACAAGATAAAATATATATGATTAATTTTTAGTCATTGGGTTTTTGTAAAAAAAAAATGTGATCCAATTCAAGACCATCAAATATAGGACCTGAATAAATTAGCAGACTGGGAACATTGATGGCTAATAAAGTTTAATGCAATTTTTATGTAACAATTTTTTTCATTGGCTAAAAGTTACCATCAAATCCACAGTTGACCAGGGGTAACTAAGGAGGGACCCGCCATTTTGAATTGATTGAATCAATAAATGTTCAATTACTAATATCATCGAAAATAAAACAACACCTACCTCGAATTCACTGTTTTAAAGTAATTTTATCCGAATTTGAATCGCAGAGGTAACGTAATAACCTCCAGTTTGTAAGTTTTCATTTGTATGACGTCACGTTTAGCCATGACGTCTTCGCGCCAAAATCATTCATGAAGTTTCGCAGAATTTATTTTGTATGTCAAATTTATACATTTTTTCAAGCTTTATTGTATTATTTCTTTTTGTAATGTATTAGAATCGGAATAACAGTACTGTAGTTAAAGAGTTGCTACCGTTAATTTTGATTTGAAGGCCGCAAATCTCCGTTTTACTGTCTCCGCTACGCGTCACCAGTAAAACTACATTTGCGACCGTCAAATGGACAATTGAAGGTGGCAACTTTTCAACTACAGAACTGTTATTCCTTAAATGCAATGTCATTTCTATCAGCAAGAAATGATAATGATCAAATTCAAGGGGAGATAATAAATATTTAAACAGGTTGTTAATGCAAATCAGTCAGTTTCAGTGCTATTTTGTGAAATATCAAGAAAAGTTTTGACGTATATTTACAATTGGTAGAGCTAAACATTCTGAACATTTTTGCCCCTTTCAGATTTTCAATATTTATAACAGCTTCAAAATAATAAACAAAACTTGCTTTTTACCCTTATGTTCTATTTTCAGCCATGTAGGACATGTTGGTTGGCAGGTGGGGGTCATCAGACACATATCTTAAAACAAGACACCCTAATAATGATTGTTGCCAAGATAAGTTCAATTTGGCTAAATAGTTTCATAGAAGAATTTTGTGAAAGTTTAAGAACGATGGCAGAAATTACCAAGTGAGGGCCATGAGGGCTAAAAGAGGATTTTAGTTTTTGGACAAGTAATCCAAAAGAGCTGTAAGCAGTGTTCATGAACTTTTGGGAACTGTTTATAGCTATTGACATGAATTTCATATTGTATAAGTCATAGATTTAAAACTGTGTCCTGTAGACCTAGCTTATTTCAACAGAAGAAAAAAAGAAAACAATTTATCATATGTCAATAAACCTTTATAATATATTACACAGCAATGGAAAAAAGGAAACCTGAGACTATTGTTGACTCAGATACTATTTATCAGTGATAATATTTATCATTAATTGTCTTACCCTGCAAAATCTACAGTTTTCTTTAGATGCAGCACCCATGTGGTGACAAAATTCTGAGGCCATACTGTTGTCCATTAACCCAACTGCTATTTGGGATGTTACAATAACATTTTTATTGTAAGCTGCATCATACATTACTTTTCCTTCACTAAAATTTAAATACATTGATCAAGTTTGGGATTTCATGTATTCTGATTTGACTCAAATTCTCATATTTGATTTATAACAATGTAAAATATTTATCCAAATTATAAAAATTCTAAAATAAACAATATAATAGCTCGATAATATGTAGCTTCGTTTCTTGTGTATTTTAGTCTAGACGCCATATAAATAACTGTCAATTGGACCACTGATAATAAGCGATATAAATCATAGCGCTATAGACAGTTAACCAAAAATCAATGCAAACAATTTGAAAGAACAAACATTAAGCATTCATTGTACATAGATATAGGAAGATGTGGTATGAGTGCCAATGAGACAACTCTCCATCAAAATCACATTTTATAAAAGGAAACCATTATAGGTCAAGGTACGGTCTTCAACACAGAGCCTTGGCTCACACCGAACAGCAAGCTATAAAGAGCCCCAAAAAATGAATAGTGTAAAATCATTTAAACATGTATATTTATTTAATGAATTGATTAAGGCAAATTAATTAATATTTTTCAATTGATTTGTTTTATTGTCCTATACAAGTATATATATGGTTTAGGTGGGGATCGGGCCCATAGTGTTCTAGTTAACCCTTCCCTTATTCAGGCCCCTTAAAATACCCCTAAATAGACCCCAATGCACAAACGAGAGATCGATGACTCCGCTAGACATGTTATTGAGTTCTTTTCAATGTTTGTCTCTGTTCAACCTAAATCTGATCAAACAGAGATGAAGTACTAGCCATTAGCAACTACCACCTTACAGGTGTTGCTCTACACTGACCCTCTCTTGTAAAAATAAACACATCATAGAGTCTTTTTCTTGAAAGTATTTTTTTTTCTATTTTGCTAATTAATGTTTACACTTACTAAAACATGTCATTCAAATCATTCACCACAGGTGTAATGAATGACCCGTCTTCTGGTTTTGTTACTCCAATGAAATGATGTGATGATTTCTTCATCTTTTCAGAAGTTGGTAATCCTGCCAACTGAAGAGTCCACACACTTAATGGGTTCCATTTTTTTGACCTGTATAATGTTTATATAAGTAATTGTCTTATACAGTCTAATGAAGTTTATGTAAGCAATTGTAGGCTTGTGTACACAGCTTTGATCATGTTGATCAACAATGAAAAAAATCCATACAGTATTTCCCACATGAAAAAATGTCACTATTCAACTGAGAAAACAAAATGTTTAATTTATAACAAAACAATTTACGAAAAACAAATATGGTTTACACTAGTTCAGTGGTTTCATCAGAGAAGATTTATTTTCATATTTAATGATAGATAAAGAACGATCCACAATGACAATAACTTTCACTAACCCTTTTGGGGGTATTGATACCTGTTATCAAATCACTATTTTAAAATTTAAATAATTTTACAATTTCTTGCATGTTTATACTCTATGTACCTGTTACCACTTGTGTCATCTACAAATATATTTATAGGAACTGTGTATATGTCCATGTCTAGCTTTTTTGACATCTCAATCAGATTTTGTACTCTTTCAACATCATCACCCTCATACACCTAGTGAAGAATAATAGAAAGTGAAACAAACATCATCCAAAATACACTAAAAACTTAATTGATTTTTGACCTAGTTTTCTCTCAAATTTTTTGAGAAAAAAAATAACGTTTCATGTATTTGCCTCATCTCATCTGTCATGTCATCTGTCTTGCTGAAGATAATTATGTCTTTTTGATTCCATAAAAATAACCATTCAACAACTTGACAAACAGATTAATGAGTAATGTTTTTGCTTTCCCTGCTAAAGTACTTACTTTTTTGTATAATGATTAGTGACTGAACATATGTTTTTCTTTTAAACTAGTGGCATACTTTTTTTAAAATTTATTTTATTGGTAATTTTTGTTTTAGTAATTACTTATATATAGACGTAGTGTCCCGTATGAAATAAGTAGTAGGATTCCACCTAGACACTAGTAGGAATGTAGTAGGAATCTACCTAGAATCAAAGATTCTGTATAGAAAGTAGACGGACAGGGAAAATGAACAAAATTCTGACTGGATTTTTTTATTTTCTCACTAGCAAAATCCTACCATCTAGCAGGAATTTTAAAAGTCTGTATGGATTTTTTTCTGTTTTGAAAATCTTAAGTGGGAATTTAGACAGGAAATATGATTAGATTATTCATTTTCCTACTACAAGATTCCTACCAGAATTTATTTAATCCTACTAGAAAATGTTTTTACATGGAATCTTTTTAATTATCTTAAACTGGATTCCTGTTTGCTAATGACACAAATTTTGCTGTGTTGAATGCAACCAAGTTCCAGTTCACAAATTCAAAAGTTGGAGGGTAGAAGAATGAAAAGTTGTGTTGGAACAGAACGCTGCAAGGATCAAACAACTACAATATTGAAATATGAGAAAATATGGCTCATGTTGATTGAAGGTAATTTTTATACTTTTAATATGAAATTTGTTATCTGTTTGCCAATATATATTAGTTAATTCAACAACAGTGCATAACTTTCCTCATTATTAGTTCATAACTCTTTAATTTCATCTAATCAACATTTTTGTCCATCTACATATATAACACAATTTCTAACTTGAATACATCACAGTTTCCTCATACATTTCAAAAGTCATTTTTTTTTAATAAATCTATTCCAGACATTTCCTTTGTTCTCTGTTGTTGAGATTCAAACTTAAATGATTGACCCAGTTGTGTATTTGTGAATATACACTTACATTTTGTATATTTTTAGATTCCTACTAGAAAATATGTTTTTTCTATGTGGAATTTTGAAAAATTCCTACCAGGTTTTCTAGTAGGAATTTTATTTTCCCGCCAAATTATTCCTAATAATTTAAATATTCCTGGTAGGAATATACAATATTCCTACTAAGAAATTCCTGCTAATTTAAATTTTTCGTCTTATAACTTTCCGTGTGGATTCCTACAGGAGTCTGACTGGAATATAACTCTTTTCTGGTAGGAATTCATCACAATATTCCTACTATATTCCGTGTTCATTCTGTGTGAAATATTTCATACAGGGTTATTTAATTTTGATCGCATCATCATCAAAATATAAACACACAGGTATTAATCTAGTAGCTCATAATATTTTTTTATAACAAACTCACATTTGTCTGGTCCAACTTCAACAGATCATTTGCTATCACAGATATATTTCTTGTACTACAAATAGAGATTACAATTATATTAAAACTCACAGTTACCAAAAAATACAAACATAATAAACATTTCCTGAAAATATCTATTACTTGTACTGCTGAAATTTTTGTATATGATTTAATTTTTACATCTAGATATGGTGAGTTTGAATTAGTAACTTAATTTCAGAAGTTTTAATGTGAACCAAATGATTACATTACATGTATGTTTCAGAAGAATCCGTTATTTTGATTGGATAACAACGCTTGTTCGTCATACTAGAATTCACCTTCATAGCCCAAAAGTTCATATTGACACGTGCTATCCCAAAAAAGTGCACAGGTTATTTAAAGAAATGATAAAAATAGATTGTCCATTGTCATAGCGAAAAAATGTAATTATAAATATTGAATGCTTCTTTTACTAATTTCATATGGTTGTAAAAGCGTTGACCATGCGCACATTTTTAGAATGAAGCGCTTCCACGCTTCATACAAAATGTACTTCGGTCAAAGCTTTTACACCCCAATGAATTTACTTTTACACCCCAATGATTTACTTTTACACCCCAATAAATTTACAAAAAGAAGCATTCAATTCTTAAATGAAACTATTTACAGAGATCTCCCCTATTGATAATTGGATTTAAACATTTTTAACTTCACTTGTCCTATTTTCTCAGTTATTTTTATTCACTGGGACCTTTTAATTTCTTCTATTAAAGAGAAATCCCATCACTACCTGAGTAAAAAAATATCCTTCATGTAGATGAATGTGCATATATCAACTAAAATAAACAGCTGCGCCATGAGCGCATGATACGCCCGTCCTCTTGTGTGTGAATTTTTATGCAATAAGCATAAATAGTTTCTGACATACGGCGTGACATGCGAAAACCCCCCTTTTTTTTTACAAAAAACTCAATATCTCTAAAATAAAATTTTGAATCAAAACCAATAAATTACACAGATCTTTAGATTAATATAACTAAGAAGTGTGTAAAATTTTAAGCAATAATCATAAATCGTTTTTGAGATACGGCGCGACATGTGAAAAACCCCTCCCCCTTTTTTTACAAAATACTCAATAACTCAAAAATAAAATTTTGAATATCACCAAAAAGTATACAGATCTTAAGGTAAATATAACTAAGAAGTGTGTAAAGTTTTAAGCAATAATGATAAACTGTTTTTGAGATACGGCGTGACATGTGAAAAAAACACACACCTGTTTTAGTTGCTAAGTCCTGTAACTCAAAAAGTTTTAATCTTATTTTCACCAAAAAGTATACAGATCGTTTGACCATCAAAAGAAACAACTATGTTAAGTTTCATGAAATTTGGATAAGTCATTCTCAAGTTACGGTGCTACATGTTTACGCCGGACAGACAGACGGACGGACACCGGACATTTGTATACCATAATACGTCCCGTCAAAAATTGACAGGCGTATAAAAAACTGCATGAGTGCATGTTGTATTTATTCAATATTATATTTTCAATCTGTTCAATGTTAATAATTTAAAAAAAAATGCAGATTCACTGGTTTGATAGCAAGATAAATTCCTGCTACACATTGAAATAACCATGCACTGTAATTTTAAGAAGAAAAAACAGCATTTAATGATGTTCAATTGCTGTCTTCAACTTTTATAATGTACACAAAATGAATGTATACCAGTTCATTATTTTATTTCTCTTTACATTTGTAGTGTTTATACCAACCTTTCACACTTTACAGATGCATATACTTGATGTGTATTTTCAAATTCCTAAAAAACATAATAATAAGTGTCAATGACAATATAGGATGTAGTTGCCATGTCTAAACAGATGACTGAATCTGAGCTAAAGAAGTCATATACAGTTATAAAAATATTAGATACATGTGTGAACAAAGGTTTTCTTACATAATGTGTTTAAATTTAAAATGTGTTATTTGTTTAAGGCAAGATCCACAACTTTCGTTCATATATATTCAGAATTGTTACACTTAACATGCAATGATAACATTTTAATTCAATTATACAACGTACAACATGTCAGAGTAGCTGTACTTTATTGACTTAAAATAACCTTATTCCTGTGTCATTTGGTCTCTCAGAAGTGGAAATAACATTTCTTCATTAAATCTACATTATTACCTGGGAAAAAAACTGAACAACAGTCCCACACTCTCCATTTGTGCCATTCTGAACGTTGTCACCAATATATATTCTTTCTGAAGATGAATTTTTTGCCATCAAAGACTTTATTTCAGTCTTCCACTTGCTTCCACTACTTTGACCTTCAAAAAAGTTGCTTTGTCTGGGAAATCTATTTTTGAAAGAAAAAAAATGTTATTATAAAGGGGCCATCATCAGAGGAGGAATGGAAGATTAATGTTTGCACCCTTTTAATAAAGATACAGTAACTGTGATAACCGGTGGTTCAGAGTTAACCTGAGCTGTTCAGTAAACAGGCTGTTCCGTTAATTGGCGGTACAGTTATCAGGTAGATCAGATATATATCAGGTGGATAAATATGAATCTTGTTGATATCTAAACAGGTTCAATTATCCCTGTCAGTGAAAAATCCCGATGGGATGTTCAATGGTTACACATGTTACAGTACCTAATCTTTATTAAGCTAATGTACATGTTACAGTTAACATTTTGACATGTTACGGTAAACATTTTGACATGATACGGTAAACTTTTTGACATGATACAGAAAACATGTGACCTGATGATATAACCCAAATTTGGGCTTGAGCATTGGGTATAGGATGTTTTAATTATTGATGAAGTACATGGTAGTCACTAAGTCTTGATCTTTGGCTTATGATCAGGGGTCGAATTTAAGCTTTTATGTATACTGGCCAGCCGGACCAGTGGACTGAATAATCTACTGGTCCCGGTGCAAATCTACTGGTCCTGCAAAAATGACATTAATTTGACAAACACTAATATAAATGATAGGTATTTACTTTTATTTTCGTGCTTTCTTTTACATATGTTAGACAAGAAAAAGAGAGAGTCTCCATCCTGATTTTGATAATGGTTTTGATAATCTAAATGATTTTCTTTATCAAAATCAGTATCAAGAACAGAAAAAATGTCAACATTGTCTTCCATGTCATCACAATCATCACGACGACCATAGGGCGCCTGACTGGGTTGTCTGGAGCGCTGCCCAGAAATGCCACATTTGAATAGCCGGGACAAATTTTTCACTTGTTATTTAATTCACTACATTGCGGTCGACTATATAATTTAACAATTCGCGATCTTTTTCCAAGGATTTTTTATATTAACGTTTCCTTTTGTCAATTTCTTAAACTTTATTCCGATCTTCCTCTTGAAAGACACTTTTTTATTTTTTTGTAGAGATGTCCTTCCAAAAATTTCCACATTTTGTGTTGTTGTGAAGGACGCTCACGATATTAATTAACTTGATCAATTGTAATACTTAGTACCGCCAGTACAGTGTAATTGATTTTGCAGGTAAAATTGTTTGCAAACAAACCGATTTTGGGTTGCAATCGGAGTTTTATCGACAAATTTCTACTGGTCCGCCGGACCACCAGCTGACAAAATCTACTGGTCCAACGCAAATTCTACTGGTCTCGGTCCACCAGACCAGCGCCAATTTTGACCCCTGCTTATGATACACCTAAATATCAAGACTTGCAATGGTATATTACATGGTAGTTTACCAGTATTTCATTTCAAGCTTTGCCCAACTAAATCTTGATAATTGTAAAGAAAATCTGTACATATTTCAATATTTTTAAAATTCTTAACTTTCTTTTCTATAAATAAATAAAAAATTTCAAAGAACCATTAAATTGTTTGTGACTGTTGAGTATTTTTCTATTATAGCCATTATCTTTGACTCATGAGTTTGAATGTCCCTTTGGTATCTTTCACCTCTCTTTTAGACTTAAGATAACACTTAAATAACTTAAAGCTGATGAAACAATTAAGTGGTAGGCTGGTATAAAGAATAATAGAAAAATAACATTATGAACTACCTTTGTAACTGTATTGCTGTGTTTTTCTTTGAAAGCTGCATTTCAATTATACTAGATGGCTTTATATAAAAGATGTCTTTGTCGGTATCTTTATTAGAAGACTGAAAGAAAAACATTAAAGTTTGTCTTTAATCAATATAAATTGCCTCTCCTGGTCCCTATATTAATTTCCAAACCCTTATTAGAAGACTGAAAGAAATAACATTAAAGTTTATCTTTAAACAATAAACAATTATGGCCCGTTGAAAAGGTGAATATCCAAAATTGTCAACACAAGAAGGTTATTTCAATGAGGGCGCAGCCCGAAGTGAAATAACTTTTAAGGGTTGACAATTTTGGATATTCATGGATTCTAAGGGCCACAATTGTTTTATGATATACCGAACTAACAGTGGAAGGGCATTTAGAACACTTACTATCTTCTTTAATAACAAACACAAGCTGAGGTTTGAAAATACATTTGTGTTCTGGAATTTCTCGAATGTACAACAAAGGTAGAATCTTTTTGTTAAATATTGATGGCCCTGAAAAGGACCGTTTATAAGAGATTTCATTGGCTGCTGGCACTCTAGTCGTGTCCAAAGCCTTATTTCCTCGTCTCTCGATAGGCTGTCAGTGTAACGTGAACAATGCCATTTTGTTTATTTACGTCTGTGACGTCATTTTCATGGGAGATAACTCAAGTGCAAATCTAGACACTCAAAAGGTTATTCGCCGGTGAATGATAGGGTCATTCATCGCTGGTGTATATTTTAAGGATTATTTGTCCTCCCTTGCAATTAAATGAAAATTAACTGAATTATTCCATGTCACATGATAAGGTGTTACCCAATAGAATTGTTTGTAATATATGTAAGGTATAATAATATAAATTGCCTCTCCTGGTCCCTATATTAATTTCCAAACCCTATCATTTTATAATCTATCCATTATTATAATTCAAACAAGGAAACTTAACTGCACAATTCATGCACAAAGCAATAAACCAAAAAAAATGACAAATATGGCATAATTATATTCATCTTACAGCTTTGTAAGATATTGAAAAGTTCTCTGAAATTCTTAGTATCATAATTTTCTGGTTTTTTGTTGAAAATTTTGCATGGTCATATTAGCAATTTGTGATTGTGCTATGGAATTTTTTCTTTCTGACTTTTCGATGTTCATCTAAAATTTGTAGTGGTAAAATCATGGCAATTTTTTTTAAATAAGTAATACATTGTACATTATAACATACATACATTTGTAGGGAAAATTTCATTACTATCCATTTTCAATTAAAAGTATTCTAAAAATAGCAAATTTGTCAAAACAGCTAGATTACATGTATCTTACCACTGATGGTTTAAGTTCTAATCCTTCAATGTCAAGATTCCATATCTTATGGAATGGAGGAATACTCTTTATATTGTCTTCAACTACTACTCTGATTATGTGTAAAATAAACTTAAAAAGTTCTTGATCCTAAAAATAGAAAGAGTTGCAATGTACACCATTGTTCCAGGTTTGGCGAAGGGTTTGGTTAACCAACAACTTCCTGTATGTGGAAGTCTGCATGCATGTAGTTCACAATTTTAGTAGTCATCTTTTTTGGCTGTTAAATTATACATCATATTTGTTTTTCATTTTTAATATTTTGTACAGTATAAATTAAATCAGGCCATTAATTTTCTTTTTTCTATTGTTTATTATTTGTCATTTCTGGGCCTTCTATCATGATATAGCTTACTTTGATGCATTAGTTTTACTCATAGTTGAAGGTTGTGCATAGACATGTAGTTGTTGTCATTTAATTATCACTATCAGGATGATTTCATAGTCTCATTGGCAATCATACCACATCTTCTTAAAGTCATATGAAACGAATTACTGGTGAAAAATAATATTTATCCAATTCTTGAAACATGTGAAATGCATTTATATATCATAAAGAAACTTCAGTGCAAGATTTTTTCATATTTTTATGCATCCATATAAAGTGTATTTTTGGAAATTGATACCCGGGGGGGGGGGTTTACTTCCTATATTTTTAGTGGTACGAGTGTGCCGCAAAACAGGGTCACTTTTTCATGCCCTGCTGGTTAGAACAGGGTCCCTTTTCATGTCCTGCTGGTTAGAACAAGGTCGCTTTTTCATGCCCTGCTGGTGAGAACAGGGTCTTTTTTTAAACAAAGTATTTGTCTAGAACAGGATCGCTTATTTAACTGTTTAAGATACAGTCTAGAACCCGGTCCCGGGTCTAGAACAGCATCTATTTTACATTTTCTTGGGTGTGTCTAGAACAGGGTATGTTTTTCAATATATCTGTTTAGAACAGGGTATATTTTTCAATGTTTTCTAGTTAGAACAGGGTATGATTTGGCAAGTGCTGTCGGCACAGTTATAGCCAAAAGGATAGTCAGTAACCCCCCCGGGATTGATACTAATTTGCTTGACCGGACACCTAGTCCAAATAATTATGACGTCTTGAAAGGCTATTATATTTTTTTTCTTTGACGCCTTACATCGATGTAAGGCGTCAAAGAAAAAAAATATAATAGCCTTTCAAGACGTCATAACTATTTGGACTACCGGACACCATGATTGCAAGATTGAAGATTGCAATATATATGATTATAAAAGCGCTTACTATACAGTGATATTTTGATCCACGTAACACGTAGAGCAGTAGCTCTAGCCTGTTGGCGAAAGGGAAGTAGTCGTCTGTAAAAATCTCTGAGTCATCGAGTTCCTGTTTAGTTGCACTTTCACTGTCAATGTTGAAGTTCTCTTGCCACACATCATTTGTCTCTGTACTTTGTTCTTCTTCACAAAACTGCAATAAACCTATTACATCTTTATGCTTTTTTGTTTCTAGATGTTTGTAGTAATTGCTCTGTTTTTCTGTTGAAAATTCGCAAGGATTACACTGAAACATTTCAAATGCAGAATCAGAAGCAGAATGCTCGTGCAGTGATCAGGTGATTGAAGCGCTTGTAAAAGCTCTTTAGAACGCGTCGATTCAAACGTTTTTAAAACCTTGGAGTATAATTTTCGTCTGCAACTATTTCACGAGACATATTATAAAGATTAAAAGAAGACATATTTTTAAAACAAAAAAAAGAAGAATTTTTGATAGTCTTAGAGAGACAATAACAGGTGATTTGCAAAACACTAAAGTAACGTATATTTTGATATAAAAGTAAGATGAAGTCCAACAAATCACTTACACGTGGCTAATTTACATACGATCTATCCATTGGTGTCTTCACTGAAGCAGATAATAGAAAAACATTGAAACCATTGAGGGTCTTCAGGGTATGTTTAAAAAAAAATGCAATAGAAATTGTCGCACGGAACACGAGTAGATCTATTCCGATTTAATGGAGACGTGAACGTTGAAAGATCAAATATCGCCGAGCTCAGTCGCCGAGGGTCATCGTCACAAAGGAGAAGGTTCACGAAGGGTTAAAATTGGCCCTATTTTGTTATGTTTTTTAAATCGGGCCAAAAAATTACAAACCGGGTAAAAATCATTTATAGTATACGATGGATTTACTTTCCATACTGACAGAATATAATAAAACGGACTTATTCTGCTTGAAATCCCACTTGGGTTCCACTTCCTCGTTGGTGTGTAGGGGACTCAGAGTAAGACTAACGGAAAGGGTATTTGTACTAGTAAATAATTGAATAAATTAATAAATAAATAAGTACTATTACCTGTAGTTACCTGCCAAATAAATGCACGCAAATGTTATCAAAAGCTGTGCGCAAACGTAATGATTTTTGCTCACAAATGTAATGGTAATGCGCGCAAACGTAATGCACCGTCATATATACAAGTCATACAAGTCTTAATTAAAAATGAGCCGGGGGGGTCGAGTCATGCTTCAGTGATTCCCTATATAATCAACCAAATTGTTCCCACGAAAGGGGGCGGACTAGACCCCCTGGGTCCGCATATGAATATACACAAAACGTTCACAGTATATATCAACAGATGAATTCTTCACTTAAAAAAGGAAATTTATGGAAACTTCGCCATGCAACGTTCTCAAAAAGTCATCATTTAAACCATGGAAGTAATATTCAAACAATATTACTTCCATGTTTAAACTGAATGAGCAAATTAAATATGTTACAAGCATCCATTTCTTAAAAAAAAATGAAAAGTGAGCACGGACTAATGTGAAGTTTTCCAGGAACATATATGTTAGATATACTGTTCCCAGGTTGTTCTAAATATTTGAAGAAATTGAACAAAACATCTGTTATTCAATTTTTAAGGATGTGAACACTAACTTGTGATTATCATCTAAATAGATATAAGAAGATGTGGTATGAGTGCCAAATTTTTTTTATAAAATATCAAAAAATAACTCTCCATCCTAGTAACAATTTGTAAAAGTAAACCATTATAGGTCAAAGTACGGTCTTCAACACAGAAGCTTAGCTCACACCGAACAGCAAGCCATAAAGGGCCCCAAAAATGACAAGTGTAAAACCATTGAAAAGGGAAGATAAACGGTCTATAATCTATATAAAAAATGAGAAGCGAGAAACACTTATGGACCATATCAACAAACGACAACTACTGGGCATCAAATTCAGCGGGTTTAAACGTGTTAAAGTATTAACATTTTCATTCATACCCCAGAAATTCGTTGCCCCCTCATTGTAGTTCTACCCAATAGCTATATAATTTATGAGGGCATGCAGAGTCTATAATTCCTAGCCATATATAACTGCCGGGGCAATGGGTTTGAACAAGTGGGTGACCGAAGTGTATATTTGATCAGATTTTTCTTTATTTTCTGATTTGGACGCAATTTTCGTCCTCTACGAATGTTTACCCCGGAAACTCTTTGCCCATTCGTTGTAGTACTCTCCAATAGCTATTTATTAAAGCAGAGTCTATAATGCCTAGCCATACTGAAATGCCGAGGCAATTGGTTTGAACAAGTGGGTGACTTCAGTGCATATTTTATAAAATTTGACTTTTTTTCTGTGTAACGGACGGAATTTTGGGCCTTTAACAATGCTTAGCCCAGAAATTTTTTACTCTAACCTTGAAGTACTATCCAATAAATATTCATTAGGGCAGCATCTATAATGCCTAGCCATAAAGAACTACCGAGACAATGGGTTGAATTTGGCTTTATTTCCATGTTACGGACGCAATTTTCGTTCTCTATGAATGATTATCCCATAAAATCGTTCCCCTCGTTGTAGTACTACCCAATAGTTATTTATTAGAGTAGAGTCTATAATCCTTAGCCATACAGAACTGCCGGTGCAATGGGTTTAAACTAGTGGGTGACCCCAGTGCATCTTTGATAAAATTGGACTATTTTTCCGCGTATTTTATCGAATTTGGCTTTATTTCCATGTTACGGACGTAATTTTCGTACCCTAGGAATGTTCATCCCATAAATTCGTTGCCCCTTCGATGAAGTACTACCTAATAGCTATTTATAAGAGCAAAGTCTATAATCCCTAGCCATACAGAACTGCTGGGGCAATGGGTTTAAACAACTGGGTAATCCCAATGCATATTTGATCAAATTTGACTTTTTTACCGTGTTACAGACATAAGTTGCTGCTTTAATTATGTAATAAGTATATATTTTCTTTACTATCATTCCTAGATCCAGATATGGCTGAAATGCTGAGAAAACTTTTCTTGATGCCACTTGAGGTATTACATGTATATAAATCATAATTAAGTATTAGTTAGTAGAAAACATCTACGCTTAGAAAAATTAGATAAACTGTGCTGGGATGATAACACAAAAGTTGTCTTCTTGTTTTGATTATTCTCATTATGTCGCCCAGAATTAGGTATATTTTTTAAAGACTCAACAATCAATGAAGTCTTCAATTGGAGTGACAAACTTCAAACAGAATTTAAGTGAACGAATTTAATGTAGCCACCGCACAAACGGCCATTTCATGATGTATAACATTCGAAAGATTGTTATTTGTACTTTCTTCTTCGTCCGTTTAAAAAAAAATACATGGTAAATTCCGTTAAATCGAAGTCAAATGTGAAGAATTGACAGTTCAAAATTTTCATAGAATTAAACAAAAAGCTTATACTAAAATGTATGAATATGATCATATAAAAGCTTTAAAAGTGAATACTGTCAGCAGTTTTAAATTCATCATCTAGATGGTTTGTAGATAAAAAGTTCTTGCTGCTAAACTATATATGTCTTTATGTCTTTCATCATAAAATAGAATGAAGTAGAAGAAGAAACAGAAAGTGCAGAAAATCTTCAAAGAAATCAAAATAGAGTGGTTGGTAGAACTTGGCATTAACCTTCTATATATTTTTAAGAAACAATTGACACAACAAACTGTATTCAAAGCAGACATACAACTGCACAAAAAGATTTAGGTAACAACTGACAAAGGTTCTGTGAACGTAATAGCAAAAGTGAAATGACTTTTTGATTATTTATAAGAAATGGATTTTATACATAGTGATTTTAGCATCGTTTTTGTAATTACATTATGGCTGTTAAATTGTTGACTAAGCACACATGTTCAGCAAGCTCCTGAGGTTCACACAAAGTGTGCCTCGATCAACGTTTTACATCTCATTGAATCTACTTAAACGATTCATTCAAATGTTTATGGTACAAGATAAATTTTCGTCATAGTTGTCTTGGCATCAAATAGAATTATCAAAATTGAGAATGGAAATGGGGAATATGTCAAAGAAACAACAAGACCAAAAACCAGACAACAGCCGAAGGCCACCAATGGGTTTTCAACGCAGCATGAAAATCCCACAACAGGAGGTGGTCCTCAGCTGGCCCCTTACTAAAATTGTGTACTAATTCAGTGAAAATGTACGTCACACTAAACTCCAAAACATATAAATAAACTAAAATTGAAAAACATGCAAGACTAATAGAGGCTCCTGAATTTGGACAGGAGCAAAAATGTCATATATTTTGACTGGAGCATGAAACTTCAGTTTAAGTGTTTACTCAAGTTTTGATCTGTAATGCAGACACTTCTTCAACTTGTTTGAAAGATAAAGTGAAATTTTACAACACATAAGCAGAATTTATAGTTTTCTATGAAAATGTTTTAAGGTTCATTTTCATAGGATAACGTCACCAATTTTCATGGTATCAACAATTGGTGCTATTTAAACGTGCGCGAATGTGCAATCGACGTATGACAAATTTAAATGTATATTGGACGTTGTTTTCTGTCATTTTCATTAGAATGGAGATAACAATGTTGTATTTAAAGCTCTGACGGCATCAATTGGTGATTTGATGGTGACAAATACCCGTACTCTTAATTTGCGACCATCAAATAACCAATAGATGCCGTCGTAGCTTAAAATACAATACAGATATCTCCTAAGTATTCGTCATTAACGATTTATGCTGCCCTTAGCATTATTTTAGTAACCATACAATGAAAAAAAATACTATTTGAATACAGATTAAGAAACTACAATTTCAAAATCAGTTTATGAAGTTTTTAATTCATTAATTTAGGATCAGTTGGATTATGTTCCAGACAGCTTTGAGAGCCAAACAATTTCACAGATTGTTGAAAGAAATGAAGGTGAATTATACGTACTCTTTTATTACACTTTAGCCATTAGATTTTTATAAAATACTATGAACAACTACAAATACATCATTTCTTGGAACATTTGGCTAATCAAGGGTTGAACAAATCTTATTCTTTCTCTAGTAGTAACACAGTTCCAGAATCCATAACCAGTTATTTTATTTCCCTTATTTCTAATCAGTTTAAATTACATGCAAGGTGCAAATCGAGAAAACTACTTTTTATGTAGAGATATTTTCTAATATAAAATTATAAAAAG